AGCTCTGCTGTGTTATTCTGCAGATGACAGCTGCCTTCTGCCTATGCTAACATACTGCCCCCCCGCCCACTATAAACCCAGCCAGCACCCTGCTTTAGAGCTCGTCATGCCCCCCCGGTCTGATGCACCCTGTCGTTTAGGAGCCCTCTACCAGTCGGCTCACATTAGGGAAGCGGGGGTCTGACTCATTATCAGCTACCCGCAGTCCACCGTCTCTCCTCCTCACTGCTGTATATTTGATGAGCAACCCCCCCATGCCCCAGCTTCAGTGCATCCCCCCGCGGGGTGGGCCACTTTAATATTTCAGGGAGATGTGCAACAACACCGGCGTGGCTCCCCCTCCTGGGGGGTGGGGGGTGCATGAGGCGTGAGGGGCAAGTGTCGTTTGCGGATGTGAGTTGAACCCAAGCACGGGTCAGTGAGCCTCCATCCCCCCCCCCACATCCCACCACCCACCACCAAGGCCCTGCAGGCTGTAGCTACTGCTAGCAACTCTGCCGCCAGAGACATAGCAGCCTTTACAGCACATGGGCTATAATGCAGAACCGCCACAGCAACCGACTGCAGGACTACTGCCTGAGCCGCTGACGGCCTGCAGGATTACTGACTACTGCTCCTGCAGCTGATGGGATCACAGCCACAATTACAGACAGTCAAGAGTCAACCAGGCCACAGTGCTACTGGCAGGACATTACCAGGGTTACTGACAGAAGCACCTCCAGAGCTACTGGCAGGAATATTTACAGGGCCACCTGGCTACTGACAGGACCACTTTGGCATCAAAGGGCTGTCGTTTCCTCCAAATGCCACGCAGATCCCCCTTTCTCCACCCTCTGAAGCAGCTGTATGGAAACGCCATACGACACGGGCTTCAGTACATGCCCCGCATCACAGGCTTCTTGTATGCGTGAGCAGGCCGGGGCACGGGGCTCCAGGAAAGCACTATCAGTCTAAGTCAGTTAGAGCCACAGGCCCAGTCAGACTATTCATCGCTCTGTCGTGCCACCGAGGCCTACGGTCCTGCTCATGCACACAGGGAGGGGGCTCTCACTGCAGCCTGCACCCCCCACTACAGCCAAGGAAAAGACTGGGGCGGGGGGGGGGGGGGGGGTTGATTCCCAGAATAAAACAGCACATTTCAATTTCAGGGTCTACATCAGAACACCTAGTTGTCTGTGCAGGGAGATGGAGTGATGCCGCAGATGCCGAAGACAACTGAGATTAATTGGAACAGTTTAAATATTTATTCTGATTCCAGCCCTGCTCAGTGATGCCCCCTAGGGGCAAGAGAAACAATTTACCCATTCAATTGAAAAGGAAACCTTGCACTCAACACCTTGTAGCGCTTAACAATTTCCCCTTATGGCGCTTCAGTAATGGTTGTAATATAAAAAATGTAAAACATATAATGAAGAATATGCAAACAACATATTTTAGAAACAGAAATGTGTCGGGTAATGTTTGCCTGACATTAGCTATGGTCTCTGCGGTCTGAAATGTTTATGCTGTAAAGTCCCTCCGCATGCATTCACATTCATACTCAGGGTCGGCCTTCGCCCAGTTCTTACATAAACATCTGTCTGTACATGGTCACAAGGCAGTTAAGCGTATTCCATAATTCATAATTATAAGCATTACGCGACAAAATGCCACAGAAGCTAGGAGGGACAGTCTCTCTCTCTCTCTCTCTCTCATGGAGGCTTTGGGTTTGGGCACCAGAGCAGTTCTTACCTTTGAATTGAAGAATCAGGTCCAAGGTGGTGCATCAACACATGGAAAAAAAGAGAGACTGAAGTTAGCCAGGCATGTTAATGAGCTCACAGGTATCCATCCATATTAATGAACTCACAGGTACCCAAGTATCTATCCATCCATCTCTGTCTTAATGAGTTCACATGTACCAAGGAATCCATCCATCCATGTTGAGCAAAGTTATCCAGGTACGACCCTGTGTTAACAAGCTCACAGTTACCCAGGTATGATGCTATGGTATTTAGTTTACCGTTATTAATGTACGTATGAGTATATTGATAGTCCATCCTAAGCAATGGGTTCTATCGGCTCAAGTATTAGCACAAGTGACAGGCACTCTTCACAATGTGGTCTCTGGAAACTATAGACCCATCAAAAAACACTATTGAACCATCGGCCACGTAGGCAATCGATCGACACACTCTCAAAATACCAAAAAACCTTCTGTTGTAAAACTAGAGCACCAGTTTTATAAAACTATATACCAGGCGTTGAAAAACCACAGACCCAGAGTTTGAGAAGTACTGGCCATGTGGGAAAATGACTGAGCCAGCATCTCGGAATTCGCTGCTGTGGGCAGACAGGATAGCAGGCGCGTGGGAAATGCAGACCATGCAAATGTAACGCACACCCAGGACAAACCGCGCGGACAGAGTTCAGTCTGGGGAGCTACGCGTGTCAGTCTGCACAGTTTTCAGCTCCCCCCCCCCTGAGGCTCGCATCAGCCTGGGATCCCCTTCTACCCCGGCAATGCATTTAATTAAAGCGAGGCATGAGTTAACCTGTTCACTCCCATCTGGGTGAAACCGGAGAGCAGACAGTAATGATTTAAGCCCTTTAATTTAACGTTGGCACACATTCAGCAGACCACTGCAGGTCCTCACTGGAAAACAAACGACAGACAACTCGCGGAGAAGCTGGCGTCTCTGGCGGGGTCGCCACGGCGATCACAGCTGATGTAATGGAAACGGGATGAGAGGAGACTACGTAAGAAAAATTATGGAGTGTCGTGTTGAAGAGGAAGCGAGAAGGATCCGAACTGGGATCACAGGCACACATGGACATACCAAACTCAGCAACAAGCCTGCTGAGCTCCCAGTGTAGTATCTGGCCAGAGACTTCAGAAGGCATGACTCTCTGTGGTTGGCCGTGATGAGATCACATGACAGGCTGTGGGTAAGAACCCGCCATCATAACCCTGCACGCAATGGGCGCAGAATGCAATGAGGAGAACAAAGACAACCTCAGAGAACAATGCAGGCAGGAATGAAACAGCCAGCTGTGGTAATTACGCATCGACGAAAGCACATCAAAATGCCCCCCCAAATTCACCCTGTCCAAAAGTATGACACCCCCCTACACCAAGTCTTATGTTTAGTATCCCAACCTCCCCCCTACCAGCCATTCCTCAATGAAAGACAATTTCCACAAAAAAGAGAATGGCCACAAAGCCAGCCCTATGTCTCAAATATGTCCGCTGTCTTCGAAAAGGCAGTAAAAAGAACATTTAAAATGTGGGCTGTAGGAGGAGAGAGGCGTACATGAAGGGGGGGCATGTGTTTCGGGTCACAGGCCCACAAGTCCACAAGAGGGTGCATGCGCATTACTAGCAGGAACGCGGCCTCCACACTAAGGTTTAAAGACGCAGGAGTCCCAGCAGCCTGCCATGACTCACACCCCCGCACATACGTCGGCCTCCCCGTGGCGTGATCATCAGAGGATGGTGAGGTGTGTGCCTGCTCTGGCGTCCTTTCATCCCCGGTTCTGGACGCCTGCTGCGTTTGGCCACCCAATTTTAAGAGGTGTGCCGAACTATCCGCTACATTACACCAGGCCGAAAAATGGGAGAAAATTTAAAAAAATAAAATAATAATAAAAAAAAAAAACAGCATACCGACCAGCTGGTGCCCAAATACCCCCCCCCCCAAAAAAAGACACCTATACCGCTGCCGGTACGGTCACAGCTCAACAGGCCGGGAAGGGGAACGAGGTGTGTGTGCCACAGGGCAGTCTGAGGGGACGACGAGTCGAAATGCTGGTGTTGTACAGCACCTGAGTCACAAATTCTGGAGGGGCGGGGGTCCTGAAGTTATTAAAAAAAAAAAAAAAAACATAAGTCAGATAGCAGGCTTTTAAAATACAGCAGCAGGCTGTGATTGACTTGCCCTACATATAAGTGCCCCCCCGGTTAGAAGGTATCTGGTATCCCCTGCTCATTTGCATGGATGGATTTAGCTGCTGCTCCACACCCAGTGACCCTCCAGCTTTTCAGTGTCCTTTCATCCCGGTTTGGTATGTTTTTCCGACCCCACATTAGGCCGGGGTTAAGGCTAGATGTGCAAATTACTACCTGCTTGTCCCGAGTTATTAATGCGCTGCCTTGACGTCGTAATTAAAACGCGCACTGGCTGAACTTGGCTCCGAATTTTAAACAGGGGAAGCAGACCCCCCCCTCCCCGCTATTTCACCTGAGAAAAAAAATTCACTTAGCGCACAGTTTCCTCTGACAGCTGTAGCTCATTCAGAAGCTAATCTACGGCGCTAATCTGGCTCTGGAAAGAGCTCGGCGTAATCGCTTACATCTCCCCGGGGGACGCGGCGTCTATCGATCCTCCGCCTGCAGTGTTTGCGCTGCAATTCTCCTAAGTGACGCGTTATCATCACGATCTGCGAAACGCGCAAAGCTGCTCCGCGCGCCGGCAAACGTACGCGCCTCCCGCACCTTAACCGGCAAACAAAAAGAACCGTTAGCGCCGTAGCGGCGGGACCACTGCAAAGCGTGAACCAGCTACTTTTTAAAACTCCGAAGTGCACCGTTTCAGGGAAAATGAAATTAAACATTATGCCTACCCTATAAACTAATTGTAAAAGTGAGCAGTAAAGTTAAATGAACAATGTCATCACTTGTAGCTTTTTTCCCCCTCAATTTTGCTTTAATCGCAGAACATAAAAGACGTTTTATAACGCCTGCTAAATTAATCGATTAAACTCCTCGCCCGCAGTGCTTCAGTCTTTGCTCGTTATTTCTGACTCCTGAGTCTTTACGTGAGGCATGCAGAGCCCGAACACTGGGGGGGTGCGGCGTCGCCGCCAGTCCTTCCCGGCAGCCCGCAGCTGGTTTAGTTCGTTAGCGCTTCCTCACTCCCGAAGCGTGACCCCCGCAGCTCGCCCTGGGCCCCGCCCCGGATGAGGCATCCCCCACCTAAGTGTCGCCGGGCGCCGCCGGTCCCGAACTGACGGCTCGCTGACAGATGAAATGGGACCCGCGGGGGGCGCGCGTGGCGCGAGTGTCTCGCAAAACAGACGTCACAGGCCGCCACACTGGCGCCCCCCGCCCGCAAAAAAACAACACTCCTCTCAGTCCATCATATTCTCACGATAATAAGGTGAGTCTCTGGTTTCCCAGCAGACCGGTACCCCGAGTTCCTAGAGGTTTGCGCCGTGAGGTCACGTGATGCGCGATCCCGCTGCTGTCTCACCACCGAACGCCATTAATGATAATTATTTACAGAAACACTGATATTTATTGCTGAAAAAACCTAATATCTTCTGCAGTAGAAGACCCAGTGAGCCGGTTATTTATTTTTTATTTGGAGGGGCGTGGCAGGCTAAAAGCTTTCTGGTTCAAGTCCCAGAACCATACCTGACTACAAACCTTCCAGCCCAGTACTTAACCTAGCTGCTGCTGCTGAATAAATTCTGCTTTTCTGTGGAAAAGAGCTCCATACGACTTGGATGAGGCAAACGGTGCCACCTCCTCCAACTCGGGGAGGAGCAGGCACACGACTCCCCCTCCCTGGCGCTTTAAAATGTCACCCTTCGTCAGGGCCCGCCGCTGTCTGTCACAGCTACATTCATCTCCTCCAAAATAGAAGCGGAGAGAGAGAGAGAGAGAGAGAGAGGGGGATGAAAGGATCACCCTGCCGAACATCATCTGCAGGGAGTGTTAAGACCTCAACACATGTTGGCCTACTGGTGTCTCAATTTCTCCTGTCAAAATGCAATAAATACCTCATCTAAAGCGAGGATCTACTGCTATGTTATGGTGCACGTTACGCGCTTAGACTCCATTCCTGCTGCCTGGGAGAGTCATACAACTCCAGCAGCTGGAAGACTAGACATTTTCAGGAATGTAGCTACCGCTGTGAGAGCTACCCTACTGAGGATTTCGGGGGGGGGGGTCAGGTGGGTCGAAGGTCTTGATACAGCTGGGGTGCGGTTCTGTGGGGTGGGTAAGTATGTTATCCAGGGGGCTGTCAAGCCCTAATTGATTTACTGCTGGAATGGTGTGTGGTAACATCTCATAAAGCACGGTGATCCATTTCACCTCTCCGTGAACTGGGAACAAAAGTGCGGAAACACACGGTGCATCGTTGCATTTTTCGCCGCCACCTGTGGGGCTCCAGTGGCTGCCGTCCGGTTCTACCTGGAGGGCCGGTAATTAGACAGGTGGGCAGCAGATAGAGGCACCGGCAGGGCGGAGGCGCAGGAGTCACCCCTGTGACACACTCACCTCTCCGTCCAGAAAACAGCGAGCGTGCGTGCTGACAAAGGCGCTTGCCATCCTCTCAGTTTACCCTATGCTCTCCGCCTGCCCTGCATGCCCCACCTTCCTGGAGGGCATTGTCGGGGAGGAACCGCAGAATGGCATGCTCTGATTGGTCAGGAGTGTCTACGTTGGGCGTGCCAGAAGAGCTTCCGCAGCTGGTCACATGGGGGAGGGGGCTCGTTTGCAGCGGTACTATGTAGTGCTCTCTCATCGCACTGTCGGGGCCAGAGTATCACGCTTTCCGCTATGCCGTCGTTTCCCTAGTAACACGGAGACCGTCTCTTGCTCTTTCTCTCTCTCTCCCTGTTCACCCTCCATGTCACATCCTTATCCGTGATTCGCTGTGTGACGGACGCCGGCCCTGTGGGATGGAGAGCTCCATGGTCAAAGCCCAGAGCTGCTAAATAAGCTCACAGGTATGTAGATCCCCCCCCCCACGCACACACACACCCTGCAGTGGGAGGCCTCGGAAACATGCAGAATTTATTTAAAGAACACGGCTTCCCTATACGAACTCCCTCTTGCTTCTCTCTCATAACTAGGTTGTTACTCTCTGAAAGAATTCCTCTTTCTTCCGTCAAGGGGTTCGTTTTGCCAGAGCAGAGAGTCAAGGACAGGAGTGGGGAAGCTATTCAGGCCAAAAGGCACCTTCTGACCCGCAAACAGAGCCGCGTTTTTGGGCAATGGAAACTCCGTGGGACATCTCCTTGTGTCCAACACTGATACTGACAGAGGCCTACATTATTCATCCGCATAGAAGTTGCTTCCACTCCATCCTGTCGTTATACTCCTAACAGCCACAGACTAGAAGTTTTTAGCTGACCTGGGCGGGTGAAATCAGGCCTGAGGGGAGCTGTTAAGGTCAGCTACAAGCTGCCCTATCCCATAGAAAAGTGTTTCCCAGTTGTGTCCTCAGGGATCCGCAGGCAGTCCATGTTTTTGCTCCTTCCCAGCTCCCGGTAGGGAGCAAAAATGTGGACTGTCTGGCAGGGAGCTGAGAGGGACCAAAAATGTGGACTGTCTGTGGGTCTCTGAGGACTGGGTTAGGAAACACTGCCACAGACGGCGAAGCCAAGAGCTTTAGGCACTTCAAAGTTAATTTATTAAATGAGTCTCTGACAACTAATTATGGTGTCAGATGCGTAGACCCACAAAGCCAGTGATCATGCTCAGACAGAAAGCGGAATGACCCCCCAGGGGCCCCCGTGTCACAGGGCACGCACACGTGCCTCAGCGTTGTTTGTTTGGGGTGGGGAAACGTGTCAGACGTTCCAGGAAGGGGGCTGAGGAGCAGGGTAGCTGCACCGCCGTCTCCGGCAGCCACACGCTCAGCACGCGCTCCCGGAAACCGCGGCGAGATCGATGCTGCACAGGTAGGACGCCCGTTCTGGAGGTGGCCTGCAGGCATTCCGGCTATCGATCGTGGTGGAGGGAGATGGAGTCGAGTTTAGTGGAAGGGGTCCTTTTTATATTTCATACGTCTCCTTTTGTGAGTGAAAATCTCCAGGCAACAGAGACACGGAGTGAAGTGTTCCATGCACCCCCCCCGCCCGATGAGGGTTTTATTTATGCCCCGAAACAGGGAATGGAGAAGCAAAGTATCCACTCGTATCCATGGAGAGGACAGGACACACAAAGGAGCCACGGGGGGTTTAACAGGGCTGAACTCAGTTAGAGCTGTTACACACAGCAATGCAGGGCAGAGAAGAGCAAGAGTGGACCCCCCCATGCTCTTGTCATTCAAAATGCACCACAGGAAGAGCCGCCCATAATGACATCAGTGGCCACCCCCCAGAGCCAGCGCCGATTCTGGGACAGGGATTGCACACCACTGACTTCTTTGGCTTTTGATGCCAGCTCCGTGCCCTAAATGAGCGTCCCGGCCACATTGCCATACCAAGCGTCCAATTCCCAGCCCACAAGGAAGAGCTGGCAATGACGGGACAGGGGACTCCATTAGCGTCCCTCCCACAGGCTAAGTCATCAATTATACCCCTTCAACGATGAGGATTACCATAAAGCAGAATTACATTAAGAGTAATAATCAGCACATGCCGCTTTATTGAAATGGAAGGAGAACAGGATTAGGCAGGACCGGAGTGTGTCCATCCGCCATCACGCCTGCCGTGCTTCATCCCAGTCACGTCTGCCGGATGACACGCACCGCGGTGAATCGGGACACGGGGGCATCCCGGGGCCCATCTCCCACCCTGCCTTCACACGCCCCAGAGCGGCCAGCAGATTACATATGGGCCACTCTGGCTGACTTTGACAAATCACCCCTCCAGAACAGATGCAACACTTTTCTGTCCACACAGACAAAAACGAAGGAGGGAGAGGTACGGCTAAAATAAAACCTGATGTATCAAGTCAGCGACGTGACAAATCAATTTGCTTCTCTTTTAAAGACACCTTTAGCTGCTTAGCGTATGGGCCACGTCAGGATGAAAGGGGAGGGAATGTGACACCGAACGCCTGCCACACGGAGGGAGGACGTTTTCCTAACGGAATGGCTTCTCCAGGTGGTCGCTGAGTCACATGGGCGCGGCCACATTACTAAGGGACGCGTCACCCTGAGGCCCGAGGCCATCGGAAGGCTGCTTGTGGCAGTGTAACGTGAACTCTCAGCCACGTTTACTAGCCGGCAAACACACCGAAATGCCTTAGCCGACAGATGTGGCTTTTTAGCTAATAAACTCAGCTCCATTTTCTCTAGATTGTGTGGAGAAGACAGGTGACTCATCATCCACGGCCGATTCAGCACCTGACTTTCACTGGTGTGCAGTCTGCATGGCACTCACATTCCCGGGGTTCTGTGCACTCCTTGTATCCTGTGTTATGGTCTGCACAGTGCTCACATCCTGCATTACGGTCTGCACAGTACTCACATTCTGTGTTGTGGTCTGTGCAGTACTCACATCCCATGTTACAGTCTGTGCAATACTCACATCCTGTATTATGGTCTGCGCAGTACTCATGTCCTGTGTTGAGGCCTGCACAGTACTCCCATCCTGCATTATGGTCTGTGCAGTACTCATATCCCATGTTATGATCTGCACAGTACTCACATCCTGCGTTACAGTCCGCACAGTACTTACATCCTGCCCTATGTTGTGTGCAGAACTCGCATCAAGCTCTATGATCTGCACAGTACTGTGTTATAGTCTGTGCAGTACTGGCATCTCGCGTTACCATCTGTGAGGTACTCACATTCTGCATTACAGTCTGCGAAATACTGTGCACCCAGTGTCCGTCAGTTCCCTTCCACCCACAGAGGAAAATTTCATGGCAGTTATTTGTCAAAAGCATGCAAACGACTGGATCACTTTACACAGCAAAAAAGACGCATTCCGGATGGTTCAGGTGGGGTATTAAGCGTAGAAGGCAGCACGACAGCAGGGCACAGAAGCGGATCTGCTTATGAAGGCGGTTTTCATGTACAAGGGACTCCCCCAAGCCGGCTGTCTCAAAACCTCCCTGCCCTCCTTGTAGGGGAAGGGGAATTGATAATACTAGACTAAATCATTTCCCCCCCTGGGACCAACAAAGTATACCATACAATACCATAGCTCGAGAACCTAAGATGCTTCTGTAAAAAAAACTATGCTCTATAAAAAGCTAATAAATTTGTAAGCCCTCCTGCAAAAAAATGTTGTTTGTCAGGAAAATAAAAGAAATCAAATAAAGAGCAGATATTGGGCTGAGAAGCCCAGGAGGAGAGATGAAAGTGTCCTGTCAGGAGGTTATATGAGTTATTCTCTGGCAGCGCAGGGCCTGTTTAGTGTGACGCACCAACAGGAGAGCGCTGTCGGCGGACATCTTTGATCAGCTCACCGCGTCTCCTATTAAAGACGGCGCAGGCCGAGTAGAGTCACGCTCCGCTCCTGGTCTCCCTACTGACGCCCCGGAGCAGCGAACAGAACAGGACAGCACCGCTTTCACGGAGCGGTCGACAGTGTCTCCCCATCATTAAGCAGCGGGACATTACAGCTATCTGCCAAACGACTTCCGATAGCTAGAATATGGCCGGTGCTTTGGGGATAGTCAACATTAGGCTCATGTCGTCCATGAATGATTCGCTCATTATGAAATAATCTTGAAAGAAATTATATCAGTTTCTGCGCTGATTTGTTCAGTTCATTCACCGAGAGTGTTATAATCCAGGAATGAGGTTGGTGAGCCACACAGTGCAACTGGAGACAGACACACCCTTTTTCATTAACAAAGAATGACTGACGGAGAATTTTTCAAGGGGAGTCCTCCCCCACCTGGCTAAAAATAATTAAAGGGGGTTATAAGTGAATAAATCAGTGAATGTGAATTTGAGCAAACTAAAAAGAAACAAATCGAATAGTGATTTCCATCACTAGTCAACATGAATACTAATTTATAATTCTTCATTGGCTCTCTGAGCACATTAAAGCTGAAGATAGCTGAAGCAGCTTGCCTATGGGGAGTCACACATCACCATGATGTCATGCACATCTTTGGTCCTCCTTAAGACACACCCCCCAGGCCTTGCCCACCATCACTGGATTTGTCCCCGATCACTACCGATGCCACAATCTGACCACTCGCGGTGACTCGACTCAAGTAACCGTGGTACTAAAAAAGGTACGCCAGACCAAGATCGACAGATGGTACTTCAAAGAGGCCCACTCCCCGGGTTCTAGCCGTCAACGCGAGCTGTTTACCTGACATAATGAAACGATCAAAATGAGAAACAGCCGACAGGAGCATTTAACACCTCGACACACCTCTGTAAAAAAAAATGAGAAGGCTGAAGGGGTGACTCCCAGGGCCAGAAGAAGACGCAGAAGCACATGAGGTATTAAATATTAACAGGCAAATATTCAGCCGCCCTTCTGCTCTTTCCATTAAGGCCCCACACTTCTGGAGGTGATAATGGAGCTGGACGTGGCGGCATGAAGGTAAGGATCCTCATGGGGGTGTGAGCGTGATTCTGTGGGGTAAGGTCAAAAGGAGACCGTAATGAGCCTCTGCCAGCTCAGATCCTGCACACCGTGGACCGCCCCCACAATCCACGGCACGGGGGCGGAATCAATATGGAGACACACCTCTGTCAGCCAGCAGTCCATGTTCTCCGGTGATGCCGTCTTCATTTATCGCCGTCAACGGGTCCTGACAGAAACACCGCTCAATCTCTTAGGTGCCCTTTGGCGGCCCGTAAAAAAGCCTGCTCTCAAAATCTTTTCTCAACACGAGACCTGAAACATTTTTCTATATTTCCCTCCAAATTTCCTAACAATCTTAACAGTTATAAGGGTTTAAAGGTTACCGACAAGGACAGAAAGTAAATGTTACGGGTGCGATTACTTAAAAAAAATTACCCCAGGGGCACTATTGCTACTGCCTGATGAAAACATCACCACAAAATAAGATTGGGGATAAAATGGGGTGCAGAGCGATGATTGCGAGACAGACCTGCATTGGTACTGATCCAGCCATATAGGGAGACAAAAGGGGCTCAGGAACACACAGAAAATGGCTCTGGGTTCGAATCCCGGTAGGGTGTGCATGTGTTGTTTGTGGAAGTTTTACTTACACAAAAATGTTCTGAGTGCAGAATGATAAATGATTGGTTCAGGGAGATAACCAATCACATTGTAGAGGAGGTGGGTCCTGGCAAGACATCTGATTGGTTGGTCCCACCTCTAGTTGCTTGGACCCACCTCCTCTACAATGTGATTGGTTATCTCCCTGAACCAATCATTTATCCTACTGCCCTCAGAACATTTTTGCATAAGTAAAACTCCCATGAGCGCAAGTGTTACCCCTGCACATGTAACTTAATTCAAAATACCCTGTCAACAGGCTTACAAAAAGGCTTTTGGCTTAGTAGACAGGACTAGGTAAACTGAATAATTTACATTTTATTCACTCGACTGGTTTGTCTGTGAGGCTCCTGTCAAATCGTGCAAACAGAGGTAACGGGATGAACAATAGTTGTTGACATCGGCGTGTGAAGAACCATCTGAGAGGGGAGCCGCCTGTTTAGTCTGGGAAGTCAAAATTCAGCCTTTATTCTCTGACAGGCTGGAAGAAACGTTTTTAGGTCACGTTCATTAGGGAGAATTTTCGAAGGTGGCTTTCTCTGGTAGGTCTTCCACACACTGAATGCTCAGCTTCCAGGTTCATGGAGACCTTGATGGAAGCATGTGAGGAGAGGAGGACACGACCAAGGCACCCAGATCTAAATCACACGGCGATCTCCGTGGCGTAGCCCTCGGTAGATGTGGCTTAGCATGGGGGCACGTGGTTGGAGTGAAGAGATCGACTGCTGTGTGGAAAGGTTACTGAAGGGTTAGATATAAAAAGCTGTGCAGTCTCGGAGGCCCTGGCTCAGAGAGTTCACGCCATCTTAGCCGGGATAAGTACCTCTCCCACCCCGCCCTGTCACCCCTCAGAACAAAATCCATTATTCACACACTGGGTACATGAGACACGGTACCACACTTTACTCCAACGGATCAACCTCCTTTTGTGTTCAGGCAACTCCGTGGAGGTTCGAGAATCAGTCTAGATGGGAATTCTGGAAAAGTTTAACTCTAAGCAGCAAGGATTCCTCTTTTCACGATGTAGCCATCAGAGGATTAACATCCGTCCTCTCCTGGTAAGTGCAAGAATTTTGTGGTTTTTTTTAAGCGTGCAGTATGTTTGTGGCGCAGGCCACGTAACAACATGATGAATAATGTCGCTGTTGCTATATGACATTTGCAGACTCATTCTTTTTAAACATCATCACCCTGCATCTGAAACACAAGAAGTCGCAGGCACACTGATTTTCACAGTTATAGGACAAACAAATGATTACTGACAAAAAGGTCAAAAGAAATGGTTTCCCTGACTGTTTAATAATGAAGTCTGGAAGGGGGGGGTTAGGATACTTTACAGCGTGTGGGTGTGTGTCAAGGTATCCATGTGCCCCTGGGGACACCACCTCTATCCTGTAGTCATGACACCAATTTGGAGGGTGGGAGACAAGGAACGGGAAAAAGGTGAAAATCCTTCATTCCTGAGGATCTCCAGCTATCCTGTGAGCTGCTTTCTGTTTCCCTGGTCAGCTCTGTACCCCACCCAGGGGCAGGCAAAATATCACGCGCTGTCACCTTCACCCGTGCCATTCAGGGACTTTGAAAAGGCACATCACAGCTGGACTGCTCCTGTCCGGGGTACGTGCTTCAGAAAAGCCAAACCCGTATCTCTCCGTACTTCCTCCGATGGGGTAATTAAGCAGGGAATCCTAGCCTGCTGGGTTCTGCTTTGTCAAGCTGTGAGCTTCCTTCTCGAGCGGGACTGGGGGAAATGATGCAACGTAACAGCAAATCGATCAGCGCTTTGAGAGACAGGCAAACATCCCGGCATCAAAACCATCTCTGGCGATGTTGCCTTCTTTCAGTTGGACACATCTCCTTCCTTCCTGCTCGGTCTCCCTGCCATTTGATTTTGTTTTGCTTTGTTCTTCTGTAGAAGATAATTCTCACTACACCCCATGCCAAACTACAGCTCCTGGTGAAACAGGGCACCCTGAACCAAGGCAGATATTGGGACCCAGATATTAACAACAATGGCTCACTGGAAAAGTCAAAACGCAAGAGCTGCAATGCACACTGTAGACAGCAGGGGGCGTACTGGTTAAAGAACGCAAACACATGATGCTCTGCAGTTGAGGAAGTCTGTCACACAGTCTGAAGGGGGTAAAACCAACAGCCACAGGAATGCTGAGTAACCCCCCCCACACCACCCTCTTTCCAATGCAGAACTCCAGTGATGATAAAGACCACATCCAATATGAACTTGAAAGAGACAAAATATTTTGAAGGCCCTTCCCTCCTCCTCCACTTGTGGGTCTGCACGAGGCTGACAGAACTCCACGAGTCCCTCTGTGGGGGTCACCAAAAGTTCAGGTAAGCAAAAATAAAGACAGGAATGAGGAGGCAGCGGCTTTAAAGATGCTGTCTGGCAGTTTGCACTGTAGGCCTCGCTGTTTGTGCTGCGGGGCATGGAGGCAGCCGCTTTGTACGTCAAACGCCGTCCCTCAAAGCCTGGGTGAGGCTCCACAGTGCGCGCGGTTCACCAGCTCTCACCGTCATTAAAAGCTGTTTACGTTCAAATTCCCTGCCATTCACAGATGCATCACGGATACTGCTGGAAACATCATCAACAAGTTTGACAGGGTATCGGATTCGGAACAGCGGGAACTCACCCGAATGCGGCGTTCAAAAGCCTAAAGTCTTAGCTAATGGGGGAGTTCTGCTAACCCAAAAATGCAAAACAAATGAATAAGACTCATGCACAGGAATAAGTGAATAAGTGCCCAGTCATCTCCGAAACAATGATGGGCTCCCGGGAGGTGGGGGGGGTGGCTCTTATAGCTCATCAGTAGCTTTACTACACTTTTCTTTGCTTGCTGTTTCGTGCCCCCCCCCCGCCCAATTTCCTCCCTTCCTCTTGCTGTACAGCACTCCCACCTCCTCCTCATGGAAATGGATTGCCCCCCCAAGTCTGGGAGGGCCTGGGCAGGTTTTTTGTGTCACTGTGGACTTGGGAAAGAGAATCCCCTTCTATGCCACACTCGTGCCACCCAAGGTAGGAATTGTGGGAGGGTTCCTGACAGTAGCTGCCATTACTGCAACCCCCCCTGCATGGTCCTCAGCCCCCACAGGGGCAAACTCCTTAGAACCTCTAACCTATAACACATCTAACCAGAAATGCTTTATTGTTCACTACAGCAAACCAGCACAAATCCAGTTACAGTCAGCAAACCAGTGCCATACACCGTCCTCTTCGTCCTTGCGGACACGTGACCCTTTCCCACTTTTGATTAATTGCCCCGCTGGCAGGCCTCCTGCCCCAAGGCACACGCTCAGTCCCAGCTGGGAGGGCTGAGGGCCGGGGCTGACTCTGGCGTGCGTGCCGGGGCGCCCCCTGTTGGCTGATTTCGGCCACCAGAGCCGATTTTTTTTATGGTGCGGGGCCATAACACACAGGCAATAATTCATACAGAGGAGCCAACCTTATCATTAGCCAATGACGTGTTTAGAATCAGTGAGTGACAGGAGAGGGGACACTTCAGGGGCCAATCAGCTTTCACCTGGAGACAGCGCCCCTGTAGCCCCACCCCTTTGTACACCCCTGGCCTCAGCCCTCCACGTAGGTGTGGGGTGTCAACTCCACTCTGGACCCACCTTCCTCTGCCTGTAGCCCCGGCCATCCGGCCCACAGCTGTGGGGGGTGGGGGGCGGGGGGGGGGAGACCGGAAAGGCTAATCGGGAAAAAATGTCCATTGGTGGTTGCTAAGTGATGTCAAACACAGCTGTGGGGGGGGGGGGGGGGGGGGGGGGGGGCGTACCTGATTAGCGCCAGCACATCTCAAACATGCAGGGGCAAAGCACTACCTTTCAGGGATTTTCTCATGCTGTGAGAAAAGATTAAATTCCAAGGGATCTTCCCCGCTATCCCTGGCCCAGAATGCCCTGCTCCTCCCCTGTTTTCTGCTGCTCTTCTGGGTGTGAGTCCTAAACTTATTATATATGCGCCCCCCCCTCCTCCAAATAAACCCACCGAAATGACACCCTACTGTGCGGGAACAGTTTTGGGGGGATTTTCTATTGGTCACCCAGGGCTCCGTGCCACAATCCAGTGTGGCTGTTGTGCCCGCTGCTGGGAGAATGACACCCGGGAGGGGGGTTGGGGATCTCCAGCAGGAGCTAATGGTCAAAGAAGCTTTAGTGTAGTCAAGAAAGAAAGACAGAGGAGGAAAGAAAAAGAGAGAGAAGGATAGAAAGCGAAGAAAGCGAGGAACGGTTATTTTAGGAGTGAAAGAAACCTGAGCCCAGTAAATGGTGTTAAGGCCACTTCATCAGGGCTTGACAGTGCCAGCCGCGGCCAGCAGGGGTCGCTGTGGTCTCTTTCCTCTCTGCTGCTGCCAAGCAGTCTGGCCTGAGGTGCGAGGGGAGTGGTCAGGAACACCTTAAACCTGGAAGTGCACAGAATTGTGTTACAGCCCCGGAAAGAGAACAAGAATAGAACGGAAACCTGAGGGCGACGCATGGGGACAAAGCAGAGAGAGAGCAGCTCCTCCCCTTTTCAGAGGCGGCAACAGCGACATGGACCCTGCCGGTCTCCACCTGCCCCGTCCCAAATGGGACTCTGAGGTTTCCTGTTTTCTTTCTCTTTCTGGGGGCTGTAAGACGATTCCGTTTCAGGTGTCCGCTTCAGCATCTGTGGCCGGGTGGGGAACACGTCACTTGGCCAAAGCATGGCCTACAAATGACAAAACATCCTCAAAGATGACAGCAAACTTCCTTGTATCGTTTCACGGTTAAAAGGGCGACCTCCGTACGGAAGGACAAACCGCCTCCCAGTTGGCTGCGTGCGGCCCATTCCGGCCCATTCCGGCCTGCTAATTGGCCATTCCTGTGTGCCACACCATAAGGGTTATTCATGTATCACCCTCCACTGCTGGGAGAGTACAGGACACTCTTTGGGTAGGTTTTAGATAATAAAACAGAGCCCTACTTTGCGGCTCACTCTCTTAATACACTAAATTTATTCCTCAAAAATGACATCTGTAGGTTGTTTCAGACCAGCACAGAGGTTACTCACTTCCATTTCCCCTCCTGAGATTCAAACCCAGTGACCTTCATTTGTGAGTCCCATTCGTTAAATAAACTTGATACTACCTGCTCAGCACCTCAGCCATACTACCAGCTATGAAACTCTGCAGGCTATGAGCAAATGAGGTATCACTACAAGCATTTTACATATGTGGGCAAAGGATTCTGGGAGCTCACTCTCTCCAAGCTCCCTCCCAAGCTACGCGTGGTGAGCTACCGGCCAGCCACGGCTGTGCAGGGACCCCCGGCTGCTGAATATTTCTCTCTGTGTCTCCCCGGTCGGGCTGCCAGAGGGGCATCAAAGGCAGACCATCCTCTGGATTTCCTTCACTAAACAGATTAGATGTATCAAAGTGACCCTCGCAGCCAGAGAGGCACGGATATGAGAGGCGGCCGGAGGCGGCGCCAGGGGACCGGCGGCCAGTGGACAGGCAGCGCCGCGAGGATCCGTGGTTAAACACAGCTTTCAGTACTTTCTGCATCTGCTCTTGAGCCTTTCCCTCCCCACCTCTCCATCCTTCAATACCCTCCAGGTTCCTGTAACACCCCTCTTCCCCATACATTTCAGTTTCATTATTTACATGGTGCTGCTGAAGGCATTTTCACCCCGAGAGGTTCATGCAGCTACTCGCGTTTTTTCCTTTCCAGGTGAATGACCATGCTATGTGGTACAACAGCAGTGCCCATGACAGGATCTGAATCCCAGAACTTTTGGTAAGCTTGGCCCCTTAGCTATTTTAGGCCTATCGTGTAGTGTCTTACACGGGAAGGCGCTGCAGACGGCGTGTCCCCTCCAACCTCCCCCTCCCCTGAGGTCCCAGAAGATGCTTAAGCTAATGCACACTGCACAGTGGCGCTCAGTGGTATCAGGTGTCACTGAATAACCTGCCTTTGTTCCGGGCGGGGAGCATGGACCTGGGCGTGTGCACCCATGAGCGCCTGAGGAGACGGTTTCATCTGAACAGGATCCGCATTCAGGCTGACCCTCACTGTGCCAACGTGAAAACGACGCCAAAGCCGAAATTCAGTAAGTCTTTTCATGCACCCCTCCTGTCCGATCCACTTTTTTGATGTCGGGCTGCTTAAAGGAAGGCAGATCCGGGACCATGCTTTGGAAGAACCTCTGGCTATGTAAAGTGTAGAAGATGCTCTGTTTTTAGAGGCACAAAAGCCCCCAGGCATGTCCTGAGACTGGGGTATCGTGTAACGTGAGAGGTGCCCACCCCTGGACGACTGACACATAACGTCCGGATTTAGCAGAATACATTCCGCTCAAAGGCACCACAACGGCGCCCCCTATGCAGCAAGGCCGGCGGACCCAAAGCTGAAAGTCTGGACGACTCGCATCACGACGGGAGAACAGGCGCCTCTGTGAGGCGCGGACTCACATGTGTGTGTCAGCCGGTATTGCAGAGGAGTGGAAAAGCGCGTTTTACGGCGAGCTGTCCGCGTGAAACAGGACAAGTGCCCCTTTGTCTGGGGCCGAAACCAGCGGCGCCTCACATTTTAGGGGGGCTCTCAGATGCCTTGTAACATAACAGGCTTTTTTTTCACCCAGTTTGCATCCTTTACACCGTTAATCTCCTGAAGGCCTCTCAAAGAGCGCACTCTGGGGTGGGGGGGG